AACTAAATCTTCCTACAGTGGGCTCAGCTGATTAATCGTGTGTGTGTGTGTGTGTGTGTGTGTGTGTGTGTGTGTGTGTGTGTGTGTGTGTGTGTGTGTGTGTGTGTGTGTGTGTGTTGCAAACTCCAGCTCCTACTTTTTAGTATCTCCAAATAAACCGTTAGCATACGCTGCTCGACAGTCGACACAGGGCTGCTCATTCCTGTGAACACATGTTGTGTATTCTCTCGTTGTTAATGGGAGCTGACATAACCGGAGAGGTTGCGGTATCCTCTCCCATCTCAGCATCTTGTATCCATTTACTGAATCAATAGAAGTCATTCCACAAGTGTGAGGTTTGAAGAGTCCATGCATCAATAAACAGTTGTGCAGATGATGAAGCCGAAGGATTTGATGTATCCCTTGCAAACAAACGAGGGAAACCAACAACCTGTTCAGAGGCCGAGCGTTGACTCAGTTGTGGTTTGAAAGTTATTTAAATGAAGGATAGTGTTTATATATTTTGTCTGGAGTTGAGTCCAAGGCTTTGCTCGACTCGGCCAGGCAACCATTTCTCCCTTTTGACTCTTCTCTTGTTCAACATTAAGCCAACACCGTGAAATGCGAAACGCCCCACTACTTGGAAGAGTTTTCCCTCCAATTTTGTTTGCAACTTGATTTTGTTTGGCACCTGTCAGCAGTTTTGATTTCGGCACAATTCGTCACATGATTGTTTTGTCTTGTGAGGTTTGCAAACTCTGTCGTTTCCATGGGTTTAACTGTCCCCAGCTTTCTATCTACTAAATTGTGAGTGGACGATGATATACGACATGTTTGCACGATACTAGCAGATGGCCAGCTGATCTGCGTCACTGAAACCTTTCCTGGTCCTGCTATAAAGCACAAACACACTCTACTAAATTGATCAGGATGCATTTAGGGGCAATTTGTAGTCTGGGAACTTTAAGTGCCTCAGAGATGGTCTGGAACCTTTTGTTGATCCTGCACCAGAATTAGTTTTCCACAATACCTTATCTGCCTTTTTGATGTTTGGTGCTTTTTCCCAGGCAGCACTGAAAGCTCAAAGCTGACGGTGAACACAACCCGGTTTCCATCAACATTTCTCTTTATACCGCTGAAAGGAAAAGCTATACAGTATGCTCTAAGGTATGACACATATTGACATATAACACAGAAGCAGTATTCTCTATTCATGGCTTGCTATCTTTTTGCCCAGACAAAGAGAACTTGAAAGCACGGAGCAGGAAAATAAGCCTTGGAGCTGGCTTTGCCTTAACCTTAACTGAACCATCTTCAGCATGTGGCCGCCAGCTGGTGCGCTTGCTAATCCAGAAAATGCTGCCTCTGCACATTCTCCCGGGCTCTGCTACTTGAAATGTGCTGGGCTCGAGGTCAAACACTTCCATCCTCATCATTTGTCACAATTACTCTATGTGGCGGTCAGGATCCAACTAGGTCATTCATTTCATACTCGAGGCTATATGACCAACACAAGTCATCTTGTACTGTATGATTCCTATTGTGTTTTATTATACAATAGGCAGCACTGTGAAAACCACAGAACTTAAACAAGCTAGATATAACTTTAACTTTGCTTGCTGTCGAAACAATATGTCTTAAGATAGTTGTACACACAATACACTGACCACAGGTCTGTGGTTGTAGAAAAGTGGGCGTTAATCACATTCTTTGTATCCCAACACATGTTTTCTGCTGAGATGACAGAGTAAATTGCTTATGTTAGAACAACTGGCAACAACAGTGGTTATGTCAGATTCTTTTTGAAAACAAAAACTGCTAAATATTAGACACGGCTTCTCTCTTGGACAAAGGTTCTTCTAGTACATTTCCTATCTGTCTTTTGTCATCCTCTATCTCTCTTTTCTGTTCTTATGTGCAGTAAAGACATTAGCAAACTGTTATGCTACGTGGCTAGCTATTAGCCAAAAGTTCAAAGTCAACTTTATTGTCAATCTTTCAGTTTGTGTGTACAGACAGAGATCGAAATACAATTTCCCATGTCCCATACACACAATCAACAGACACATTTATACATACAGTATGCACACATTAAGACATAAATAAAAGCACAACAATCAAAATAACAGTCACTTCAATATTGTCCATAGCAGAGTAAAATCTGGTGCTGGATCTGAGTGTCTGAGGGTATTGGCATACAATTTTTGTGTATATCCTTTTAATTGTACAGTTCAACGTGTAACCAAGATCTTTTTCTGTCACATTGTTGTGTGCCATGATGCTTCAACCCGTTAAATAGGGAATCCTACGTAATTATCGGTGTTCCCG